CCCTCCCAGTTTTTTAGACATATAATAGATATATAACATTGCGTAAGTTTAAGGTGTACAGTGTGATGATTTGTCACACTTATATATTGCAAAATGATTACCAAACAAGGTTTGGTCCTTCACCACATAATTACCAGTTTGTTGTTGTCATTGTTATGGTAAGAAAATTAAAGGTCTACTCTCATAGCAACTTTCATGTACACAATACCATGTTGTTAGCTACAGTCATCATGTTGTGTAGTAGATCCCCAGAACTTATTCATCTTATAACTGGAAGTTGGTACACTTTGACCAGTATCTTCCCATTTGCCCCTTCCAAAGCTCAGCCCCTGGCAACACCATTCTGCTCTCTGTTTCTATGAGTTTGGCTGTTTTTAAATCCTTCATATAATTGATCACACAGTATCTGTCTTTCTTTGTCTGACTTATTTCACTTCCCATAATACTCTCAAGGTCCATCCATGTTGTCACAAACGGCAGAATTTCCTTCTTCTTTTTTTTTTAACCACTGAATAATACCCTATTGTATATATATATTCCACATCTTCCTTACCCATTCATCCATCAAAGGACATTTAGGATGTTTCCATGTCTTGGCTGTTGTGGATAATGCTGCAACAAACATAGGGGTGCATATATCTCTTTGAGATAGTGACTTCATTTCCCTCAGATATATACCCAGAGGTGGGATGACTGGATCATATGGTAGTTCTATTTTTAGTTTTTTGAGGAACCTCCATACTGTTTTCCATAGTGGCTGCACTGATTTACATTCCTACCAACAGTGCATGAGGATTCTCTTTTCTCCACATCCTTGCTATCACTTGTTATTTCTTATCTTTTTGATAATAGCCATTCTAACAGGTGTGAGGTGATATCTCATTGTGGTTTTGATGTGCATTTCACTGATGGTTAGTGATTTGAGCATCTTTTCAACGATGAAAAATGTGCATTATTTGAGCAATAAGTAAATAAATAAATACAAAAGCTTCCCAGGATCATTTTTTTGAGAGTTTTTTGCAATTATTTTATTTAAATCATAAAGGTCTATAACATTGTATCGTTTTAGGTATACATTATTATTTATCAGTTTCTGTATAGACTGCATTGTGCTCACCACCAGCAGTTTAATTTTTATCCGTCACCATACATATATGCCCCTTTACCCCTTTAGCCCATTCCCCAGCCCCCTTCCCCTCTGGTAACCACTAATCTGTTCTCTTTATCCATATGTTTGTTTATCTTCCATATATGAGTGAAATCATCCTGTGTTTGTCTTTCTCTGTCTGGCTTATTTCACTTAACATCGTACTCTCAAGGTCTATCCATGTTGTTGCAAATGGGATGATTTTGTCTTTTTTATGGCTGTGTAGTACTCCATTGTATAAATACTACATCTTTATCCATTCATCCATAGCAGGGCACTTGGGTTGCTTCCACATCTTGGCTATTGTGAATAATGCTGCAGTGAACACAGGGCTGCATAAGTCTCTTTGGATTATTGATTTCAAGATCTTTGGATAAATACCCAAAAGTAGGGCAGCTGGATTATATGGTATTTCTATTTTTAATTTTTTGAGAAATCTCCATACTGTTTTTCACAATGGTTGCACCAGTTTGCATTCCCACCAGCAGTGTATTGCAGTTCCCTTTTCTCCACATCCTTTCCACTACTCGTTGTTTTTTATCTTGGTGACTATACACATTCTAACAAGTCTAAGGTGATATCTCATTGTAGTTTTGATTTGCATTTCCCTGATGATTAGTGACATTGAACATCTTTTCAGGTGCCTATTGGTCATCTGTATATCTTCTTTGGAGAAATATCTGTTCATATCTTCTGCCCATTTTTTGATCAGGTTTTTTTTTTTTTTTTTTAAAGATTGGCACCTAGGCTAACAACTGTTGCCAATCTTCCTTCTTTTTTTTTTTTTTTAAGGATTGGCACCTGGGCTAACAACTGTTGCTAATCTTTTTTTTTTTTTCTGCTTTATTTCCCAAACCCTCCTGGTACATAGTTGTATATCTTAGTTGCAGGTCCTTCTAGTTGTGGGATGTGGGACGCCGCCTCAACGTAGCCTGACGAGTGGTGTCATGTCCTCGCCCAGGATCCGAACCCTGGGCCGCCGCAGCAGAGCGCGTGAACTTAACCACTTGGTCACGGAGCCGGCCCCTGTTTGTTTTTTTAGTTATTGAGTTGTATGAGTTCTTTACATAGTTTGGAAATTAACCCCATGTCGGTTATATGACTTGCAAATATTTTCTTCCAGTTGGTGGATTGTCTTTTCGTTTTATTCATGGTTTCCAGGAGCATTAACTCCAAACTAACATAACATGTTAAGGATGTCTACAAAATTAAGAAAATACCCTGCACAACTAGAAGGACCCACAACTAAAAACAAAATATACAACTATATACTGGGGGGAGAACTATATAATGTGGGGAGAAAAAAAAACAGGAAGAAAAAAGAAAATACCCTGAAATATTATTGTGACTGTATTAAGTGTGTTTGTGTGAGAATTGTGAGTCTTTTTCTTGTTTTGTCTACTATGATTATACTGTAGGCAGTTTTTTTAATCTAATAAAAAATGTATAGTAAAATGTATAAATATGCTCACTGACTCTCCTCTAGACCCCTCCCCATATAGAGGTCTGTAAATCAGATGCCTTAGCCTCCAGACGTTCTGGGCTATCATACTGTTTTTCTTAACAAGTAAGTCCAGGCTGCCACCTTGCAAGATCATCTGACTCCCAGTCTTTGTGCTCTGACACAGCTGGCCCATTCAAAAAAACGCAAGGAGGGTTGTTGAAACCACATACATGTCCATCACAGTATTTTATACTATCTGATTCCGACTCTTCATCTTCTGTTCTACTTCCCCAGCTCATGGGGTTGGGGTCATGCCCTGGCTTTCTCAGCTGTTCTCCCCTGCCTGGTCTGTGTTGAAGTTGTTACAGTTGTGGTATTTGTCCACATGACAGCACATGACTCTTAACCCTTGGTCTCTCATCAGTCTTTCACGGGTTCCTGGGAGATGCTCTTCTCCTGCCTGCTGGGGATGATTGTAGTATAGACTGTTGAAGAGCTACTTTAGTGCAGTGGTTCTCAAGGTGTGGTCCCTGGGGCGTTGCTCCCCTGGGAACTTATTAGAAATACAAACTCTTGGGTACCAAGCAGGCCTGCTGAATCAGAAACCTGGGAGTGGTGCCCAACAATCTGTGTTTTACTAAGCCCCCAGGTGATTCTGATGCATGCTAAAGCCTGTGAACCACTGCTCAGCATGGTCTGCCCTCTCACCCTTAACCTCAGTCATAAGCAACCTTCAGACCCTCAGAGGTCAGACTTCTAAGAGATATTATATACATATAATTTATTCTATATATAATTTGACATAGCTGATAGAATTTATGTGCTATAACAACCAAGGAACTGAGCAAACTGGGACAAAGACAGAATAGTGACAAGCAAAATTAGACGAAGCTGGAAAGTCTTCATACGCGGTAGCACCCAGTAACCTTTGTAAAGGAGGAAGGGAAAGGTGACCTGGCCCTTAAGAGCTGCCAAAGAAAACAGAAAACATTATCACCTCAAGTGTTCAGGAAATGGCAAGATAACAACCTGGCAGTTAGGAGAAGCGTAGCTCTTTCTGGTTTTAGGAACTGAGAGATGTCCCTTTTCCAGACCCTCTATGGAGACTGTTGAGTATGTAGCATCTTCCCCAGTTCTCACAGACAAACAGTGGGGAGCCATATCTTGTACCACCTCTCAGTGGAGCTGATGGTGTAAACCACAAAGTACATGTTAGTATGTCTTGAGGGAAGTTTGGGGGTGCGTTCAAGAGTTCAGTGTGACTTTGCCTTTCTAATGATCTGACTCAATCCAAAGATAAACCGTAAAGTGTTTAGATAAAGTCTTTCTCAACGTTTTAAACATGCATCTTATCACCCAAGAGATTCAATCTTTATTTTTAGGGATTGATATTAAAAGTGACACTTCATTTTCGAAGTATAAAAGTATATTATTAAGCGAAACTTGATTCTGCAAATCAGGCATGCCCCTCATCTCAGTCTGGTAATGCCCACTCCCTTCCCTTTGGAGTATCACTGATTTGGTGACACGGAAGAAGTGGCTATTTTTCAAGAAATCCTCCTCAGATGCTAGTTACTGTAGTCAAGCTGTTGCTAAGTGTGGCCCGCAAGGACTTCAGAGAGCAGCTCGCCTATCGCCAGATATGGGCAACTCCAGGGTTTTAGCACCCAGCCGGACCCGGGGGGACTCCACGGGTAAGGGCACTCAAGGCAGACCCAGCCATCGAGGAAGGAGGGGGAGATGGCCTGTGGGAGATGGAAGCCCCAAAGGGAAGGAGGACCTGGTTCCTGGCACAGGGAACCCAGGTGGATGTCTCCATGGAGTTGCTCCAACTCTCAGCACTTGGGGGTGCCCTCTCTTTGCCCTCAGCCTCAGCAAGATGCCCTGTTTTGGTGTGGTAGGCGGGATGTGTGGTTCAGGCACGCCCCACAGCACGAGGGCGCAGGGAACAGGGATACACTCGTAGACATCAAATGTTGCAGGTGTCCCATTCACCGAAGGGTGGGAGGGGAGCCCAGGTCAGTCCCAGAACTCGGACCACTCCTCTTTTCGTGGTCAGCAGGTGCAGTTGGCAGGTTTGACCGCGAGCAGCCAAGGTCAGTCCAGGAAGCCGGCCGGCTAGAGGTGGGGGAAGCCGCCAGGCCAGAGTCACGGGCTGGGCGGGGCAAAAACCTGAGTCAGGGGGCAGCGAGGCAAGGTCAGCGGAGGGGGCGGGGCCCGACGCGGGGGCGGGGCCTGGGCGCAGCTGGCGAGAGCGCGGGGGCGGAGCCAGAGGTGGGCTGAGGCCGCAGTCAGGCGGCGGGGGCGGGCCCGGAGGGCGGGGCCTGCCGGCGCAGGGCTCGCGCCTGCGCAGGGGCGGCCGGGGGCGGGGCCGCGCGCGCGCTCTGCGCGGGCCGCGGAGGGCGGAGTCCCGCGGGCGCCGGCGAGGGCGGGGCGCGGCGGCCCCGGAGTCCGGCGCTGCCTCAGGCCGCGGAGGCGATGCTGGCTGCCGCGGGGCCCGCGGGGATGTGACGAGCGGTCCTCGCCTCTCCGGCTGTGCTGGGGCCCGTAGGTCGCTGGGCGACCCGCAGCCGGGCCGCGACCTCCGCACGGTGAGAGCCGGGGTCGGGGAGGGGGCCGGGCCGGCGTCCGGGAGGGGCAGTGCCCGCGGAGCCAGGGCGCGGGGCGCAGGCCGGGGCCCGGGCGCCTGGGGGGCACTGGCGCCCCCAGACCCTTTTCCTGGGGCCAACCCCTGGAGCCCTCTGCGAGCCGCCGAGGCCGGGCGACCCCCGCGCGGCTGTGACCGGCGCGGCCTCAGACCGCCGGGGCTGCAGCATCTCTGGGCGGTCGGCGCTAGGCGGAGATGCCCAGTGGTTTCGGAGCCGGGATGCTGGGGAGGGATGAGCGCCTCTGGTACCCGGGCGCCCTGAATGACGGGGTGTTTTTTTTTTTTCTAATTCCTGGGCCAAAACAAAGACACACCCTAAAGCACATCCTGAGATAAAACTTTGGTGGACCCCAGCGTTGCCATAGGTTCAGATGCTGCTGCTCAACGCCTCGTTAGGCGTCTGCTATTTTTACACGGAGATATCTGTATTTTTTTATGCACTTGTCACAGGAAAAGGAGGACGGTCTCCCTCGAGGAGCCGGCGGTGGCCAGGCTTGAGTTGGAATTTCGATAATTGCAAATTCATCTTTGGAGGCTGCCCAAGCCAGTTCGGCGTGCGGTGCCCAGGCCGGGCCTGCCTTCAGTGATGGGTGGACTCTTCGTGGTCCCAGGTTGGAATGCGGATGTTTCACCCCCATGGGTGAGATAAACTGAGCTTTAGGCTTTTTGGAATAGCCATTGGAAAAGGCCTTCCTTTTCTCCGTTTTTCCTGAGCATTAAAATATCATGGAACCTATTAATTTTGCCCTTTTTGTAAAAAAAAATCATCATCATTTAGACTAGTTTAAGGAGTTTAGTGGTGGCGGCTCTTTAACCAAAAGGAATTTAAGATACTCCTCTCGTGCAAAAGATAGGCACAAAACATGTTTTATCTGTCATCAACATATGATAAGGATGTCAGCATTCCTGAATGTTTGGCCTGGAGTCAGTCTTCGTCTCCTGGGACTTTTTTACTGTTTGCCTCTCTTAATTTATTATAGCTCTTTAGTAATTTCTTACTTGGTTTTCTTTCGTGTTCTCAACGACATTGAGTTCAAATAATCTTTAGGTAAAAAACACACACTTTCTTGAACCCTTTGGCTGTAATTCATACTGTTTTATTTCAGTGTCGTGTTAATATGCCATAGTAGGAAACTGCTAGAAGCCATCCTGAGAGCCGGAACTTTCCATTAAGAAAACAAAACATTTTATTCTACCTTTCCACGTCTAGACCTGCTTTCTTTTCCTTGTTGCCTTGACTCAACTCATCTGACTGTTTGGTGGGAGAAGGGGACTTTGGTTCTATGTTTATAAGTCCGTCACTGATTCTGCATAATCTGTATTTGATAAAAGTACGAGTCCTTCGCAGTTTCTGGTATTTGTCTCCGTTTCTAATTTCTTTCTGCCGTTTCGCCTGCCCTCTCCATACAGAGCCTACTTCGAATTCTGTGAAGATGACTTCTTCCTTTATGGTTTTGCACTGTGCCCTCCATGGAGATTTCTTCTCTGCCTGTAAACAACTTACCCTTCAAGACCTAAGCAGAATATCACCTCTGACCCTTGTCCAGCCGTCTCTCCCCTTGTCTTGACTGATCCAATAGCACATCGTACATTTTGCAGTTAGCGTTCATCAAAATCGTAGTTAATTTTTTTGTATGTCTGTCTGCACTAGACTTCGGGGCTTCTTAAGGGAAGGGACCTTTGCAGCTCTAGCACGTGCTGTGTGTGGCACAGGTACTCTAAAACTATTTATTGAATACATTTTTTTGGAATACTCTCAGTCTTGAGTATAGCTTTCAGAAAGGCAAAATGCGTTAACTACCTCTTTCACCATCAGAATACTTAGCAAAGATGAGTGCACAAGGTACTTTTAAACTTCTAAGAATGAAGTCCGAATTATTGTTGTTGCTGGTTAGGAATAAAACCCCAGTTATGACAGAAGAAACCAATACGTTTTGTGACGCAACAATGAAATGGACATGGCCAGTAAGGGCTGCTGCTGTTTTGATCTTAGCACTTTATTCTGAGGTGAAGTAATTTGCCCATGGTCATGCAGGCAGAAAGGGACAGAGGTGGGATACAGTCCACATCTTTTGTCCAGATCTTTTTACTTTTGCCCCCAGTTTCCTAATTCTAAGTCTTGATAATTGTTATATAGTCTGAGTGGGGGTTTTTGAGAGGCTTGGGCATGTATTGGTAAAGGAGGTCTATTAAATTAATAGAATATTGAACTTGAAAGAATTAACTGTTGGTTTGGTTCAATTTTTTTTTTTTTTTGAGGAAGATTAGCCCCTGAGCTAACATCTGCCACCAATCCTCCTCTTTTTGCTGCGGGAGACTGGCCCTGAGCTAACATTCGTGCTCATCTTCCTCTACTTTATATGTGGGACGCCTGCCACAGCATGGCTTGCCAATCGGTGCCATGTCCGCACCCGGGATCTGAACCGGCGAACCCCAGGCTGCTGAAGTGGAACGTGCAAACTTAACCTCTGTGCCACTGTGCCGCCTCTGGTTCACCTTTTAAAATTTTACCCATTAAACAACTAAAGCCTGAAGGGGCAAGTAACTTGCTTGAGGTTTCTTAGAGTGGCCTGTATCCCACATCTCCTGACCTCGTGGTCGTGTATTTGTCGTTACTCCATGGTGCTTTGCAGGGAGAATGAGGAAGTTGCCAGTTTTCAGAGGGAGAGCCAGTTGGCTTGTACATTCTCCCTCCTGCCATGCTTAGCTGCTCAGCTGCCATGCCTAGGGGTTTAGACCCTTGAGTGGCTGAGAAACATGATAATTCATTTGGGGATATAGGAGAAACCTAACCTTCACCAGTCTACTCGGCCAGATAGTTTTCCTTCCGTGTTTGGGGCCCTCTCTCCAGATGCCCCGTGGCTAGTGGCTTCTGCTCACCATATGGAGAGCCCATATCCCAGTTACCGTTTTATGGTAAAATGAGATTTTCCTCTAATAAGGTTACAGCTGGCTAATAGCATGGCTAAAATTACATGTATGGCTAGGCTATATGTGAGAAGAGCCTATTGATTTCTCCTATGTGATAAGTTGTTTGGTAAAAAAACCTGATTTTTGTGGTTTTGCCTCTGAAAAGTCAGTTTTGAAATGTGTACTTACTGTGCTGGGCATGATCAGTTCCAACAGACTTTTTACTTTACAAACAACTTAATGGTCAAAGAAATAAGAAAACTCAAAATGAACTTTGAATTTTTCTTTTCGTTTATTTCTTACCGTATATCCCTGATTTTATACTATAATCAAAGCGTGAATATAACGTTTAATATTTACTTTCATATATGTTTTCTTTCTGCTATAGTTTTTGTACATTTAAGTTGTTATATAGTATTAATAGTGAGTTGTTACTTATTTTTAATAGTTGGACGTCCAAGTTGCTGCCCATTTTGCAAGCAATGCAGTTAACATAGAGCTGTCCTTCGTTTTGCTTCTTTGCCTTCTGGCTAAAGTCCCAGGAGGGGGATTAAAAGGTCAAAGGGTACGAAGGTGGTTGTCACTTGAAAAATATTACTAGGTTTATTTCTGAAAGATTGTATTGATTTAGTCTCCTGTATTTTGGTTGATGAGTTTTATCATACTTTTATAGGCTTTTGTTTTTAAAAGTTTGTTTTTTAAAGATGGGTGTAAAGGCACCTGCTGTCTGACATCACTCTCCAAAATAGAAAAGCAAATGCAGTATTTTTGTAGTTTTATTTCTTCCTTTGAATGAATTGTTTGTCCTTTGCCCATAAATTTACTGGCATCTTCTTGCCAATTTTCATTAGCATTTAACGTCATAAATATATTAGTTTCTTGAAATATGTTTCTGATCTCTTTTATTTTTGTAGGCTTTGCGGTTTTTAGGATTATGAAAATGACTGACTTTAAGAAAAATTTCGTGATTTCATGTTTTGGTTGTGAGGTCAGATAACGAATGTCACTCCACCATCTGATGCACGCTTTTATTTTCTTAAGCATCTACAGTTTGTGTTATTTATATATATGTATCTCTTTAACAAATTATATGTGCAATGGAGATTGAATTTAATTTCCGTGGATTTTATACTATAGAGAATCACGTTCTTATAAATACCTAAGTGATTTTCCATTGGTAAGCTGCTGGCTTTTTTCTTCCTGAACTTGAATGGGAAGCAAAACAAAACAAAAATAACCTAATTGTCTTTTTATAAATGGGTACTTGCTTTTAATAAACTATGGTAAATTTAGATGAACCAAAATTTTCACGAAAGCAGTATGTTGGATAATTGAAGTTTTTGTTGATTCAGGATTGACCAGAAGCTCCTTTCTGATTTAACCCTTGTTGTTAATCATTCTAAAATATATGAAAGTAAAGCTTTGGTAGTCTGCTGCCTTTGGGATCGAGGCATTCTATACAGATGCACTATCTCAGGGCAGTAGTTAACACTGATTGCTGAGCGCCGTGCGTGCTGGTCCTTGGCAGGGAGTTTTTTTCTTTTCTTTTTCTTTTTTTTTTGAGGAAGATTAGCCCTGAGCTAACTATTGCCACTCTTCCTCTTTTTTGCTGAGGAAGACTGTCCCTGAGCTAACATCCATACCCATCTTCCTCTGCTTTATATGTGGGACGCCTACCGCAGCATGGCGTGACAAGTGGTGCCATGTCCGCACCCGGGATCTGAACCGGCGAACCCCTGGCTGCCGAGAAGTGAAATGTGCACACTTAACCACTGCGCCACCGGGCCGGCCCCAGGGAATTTTTTCTTAATTCTCATAAAGCACTAGGAGGTCGGTTCTTTTCGTACCCTCATCAAATGAGAAAAGTTAGAGAGGTAAAGTGACCTACTGAAGGTAACCCAGCTTGTAAGCAGTGGAACTGGAGTACGATCTGCCTGTTGTTGAAAGGCTCTATTTGAAAAGTGTATTGTATTATCTTATTTTCTGTGCTAAGGATTTGAACGTTATCTCTTAGGCATTGGAAAGATATTAGAT